TTTTTTTTTGCTGGGACCTTCCATGGTCCTTGCACGGCTGGGCCGCCTGGGAAAACAAGGTCACCCTGGCGGCCCGGCTGGTAGCCTAGCTACCAAGGCAATTTCCAGGTGTAACTCCAAAGCTGATTGGATGCTGTTTGTTTGTGAGTGGGGTGATCTCATCTGTGTCCCGCTGTATTTCCTGTCCTTGTATCTGATGTGTCCGACGGGGTGACTTTGCTGCTTTGGACCTGGTCTACCCTGGATACACCAGGAAAGACTTGTCGGACCTTTGGATAGACCATCCCTTCCACTTCCTGACAAGTCGATCAGAGAGATTCAAAGCTCAAGCAAAGCGAAGTGAAGCAAAGCAAGCTCCTATGCCTTGTCATCCTTCGCTGCATGGAAGGTACATGCATAATATTTTATTTCATTTTTTATTTAAAAAAAATACAGCTGTCTTCTCCTCATATATGGTGGACAAGGTGCATTTTTGCTACCCTATTTTCTTCTCTCAATCGTATATCTACCTCACCGAAATGGGTCCTCACCTAATGAGTCACATCTATCCCTGAGAAAACCGGCACTTCCTACCTATGGAAGACATGGGGACTAAGCTTAAATTTACTAACCAAAGCTAAAGCTAGGCTATCCTAAGGTTATGGGTCTACGCCTACCTATCTGTGCTCTGTGCGGGGAGCAGTACCCGAGCTCCTAACACCCGGCACGGACTGGAAAGAACTGATTACTTCCGCAACCAGCCGGGATGCCCAAGCCAACAATCTCCGCTGGTGAACCCGAAGCATACCCCAGGAGGCCGAGGGGATCGAAACAACGACGTTGGGTATCGAACCCACAACCTCCTGAGTACCACTTACATGCCTAACCAACTGATCGTATTCATTTTGTCATATCACATGTGAAATTTGCCTCCAACTTACGCCAAGGCATTCATCCTGACTGTCGTTTCCAACTGGACAAATACAGGAGCCTGAATCTGGGTGATTACTCTTAGCCCTTCCTTGGCTACAGCTTAATCTACTTAGCTTTTAACTAGAAAAAAGGCGGCGTCAAATTGGGGCTACGTCAAATTGGGACTACCGAGTCCATGTGGTTAAATGGTATGCAAATGAAACTGCTGATGAACCCACCCTGAATACAAAAGAATGTTAGGGGCTATACTGTTGGGCTCAGTTGGGGTTTGAACCCAGACCCTGGCCCAAAACAAGGTTAAGTACGGCTGTTGTTAGTTTTTTGCTGTTTTGCTGCCAGTCGCATGCGGAGCTACCGTCTTCACCTGAATAGAACGCCCTGTCATTATATCTGTACTTGGTGCAACTTTCAGTCCAGATACGGCAATAATTACCGGGCGTTCTATTCGGGTGAAGACGATAGGACCTATTAGTGGAGTATCCCTTAGTGAGGGTTAGGATTAGACTTTGACTCTTCGAGATACTTTCAGTCCAGAAATCAGGTAGGCCTACAGTAGGAACAGAGGAAGCTCATCAAAGTAGGGTGCAGGAGACTGAGGAGAGCAATTTTTTTTTCAACATGATTTTTATTTGTAAGGTTCGTCAAAGTAGGGAAGCCGAGAAGCGTGAGTTTTAGCGCTGTAGGAGGAGAGCTTGGGCGCAGCCACAGCCAATATATAATCAATGCACCTGGACTACTTTTCCAGCCGATTATTGCATGTTACTTAAACCACCAGTACATCTGAAAAAGCAGATTGAGCCTCTCCAAAAAAATTCGGAGGCCATGGACTGTCGATAAAATGAATCGGCGGTTCATGGCCTCTATTTGTTTTAGGAGAGGCTCAATTTGCTTTTTCGGATGAACTGCTGGTTTAAGGCAGCAGGGCACCAAGTTTTACTCAAGTTTCTCTCAGTTTCATGGAGCATCTTCTCCTTCTTGCAAAGTTTACGCTCAAGTTTGGGTTGCTTGCAATCCAGTCTATGGGAATGATGATTGCTGAAATGAATTAATGTTGGGCTCAACCCTAATGAAAAGGTACCACCTTTACTGAAAAAGATCTTGATTTCTCGCCTTTTTCACTTCAAACTTTATGTGTGCATCACACTCAAGATCCTAGTCACACCAGGCTATGGCCGCCGGCAACAACAACAAACAAGTTACTCTCTCTCTCTCTCTCTCTCTCTCTCTCTCTCTCTCTCTCTCTCTCTCTCTCTCTCTCTCTCNCTCTCTCTCTCTCTCTCTCTCTCTCTCTCTCTCTCTCTCTCTCTCTCTCTCTCTCTCTCTCTCTCTCTCTCTCTCTCTCTCTCTCTCTCGTGATCTAGACGACTACTGTGCTCACACACACAGCAGTCTCACGGTCTCTCTCTGAATGTTCTCTGCTCTCCCTCCTTGCTACTGCTCTCTTCGCTAGCTATGACGCCCAGTGGCTGTTGACTGCCTAGCTGGCCTCGTACCATTCATGTGCAGGATCTTGGTGCACAATAACGCATCAGCACCTACGCATAAGCCAGCCACCAAAGGTGAGGAGGTTTCTGGGGTAGGCCTCCCCTATGTCTGTGTGCTAGTGCTTCCTCACATGTCTTGTGGCTCTTCCTGCCAGGCCCTGCCGCAGATTCTTGGCCTTTCCGGGGACTGAGCAGTGACTTGATCGGGACCGGACACATGGCGACTGCCTACCGACTGACTGCTAGGGACTTCTACTGTTCCTGCGCCTTAACCTATCGGATCTCTCCCTTGTCTACTACAGTATCTAGTACCGGAAAGTTCTAAGTTGGGCCTTATGATACAAAAGAAAATGGGACGTGGTACTGCATTACCAGGGGGTGGGCTGCTGAAGCGCGTGAATCCTTTCACTCCCGCCAACGTAATTTTGGCGTCCTCCGAGAAGAACTACTTCTTTGTGCTTAAGCTGCATTGTGCAATCAGCAATGCCTGTAAGGCTGTAGGAATTCGGCAGCGGTGGTTTGCGATGGCAGTAGTGGAGGAAGGCCAAATGTACCTCGTCACATATGCCTTCTCAGCATCGAAGAACAGACATTCTGCAAACAACAATAGCCTGTTGGCTTCATGCTCCAATCTTTTCTCGCCGTCTCCATTTGTCTGAAAATATTTTTTATGCCCATCGACTCTGGCTTTTGGTTTGCGGTTTGTGCAGATCAAGAAGATGAACCCTTCTACCAAGGAAGTGATTTCAGTCGCAGGCAACGGACGAGCAGGATTTAAGGATGGAAAAGGCACATCATCACAGGTATATAAGAGATCTGCTGTGTTTCTCTCCTTCTATGTTCATTTGCTTTGGCAAACTAGCACTGCCTGGTTTACTCCTCCATCATTGCCCCCATGTTCTTTCCTTTCTTTTTTTGTTTTAAGGAATGAAAAGCTCTGATCAGTGAGCTATGATTCAGAGAGTGTTTCCTCCTCCATGTAAACCATGACCACTTCTTCTTACCCAGCGTACCAAAGGAGGGCATCACCGTATTCCAGTGCTCTTGGGGCCGAGGTCCCACTTTCCCGGAATCTGGAGGGATTTCCAAGTATTGATTCTGAAGATCAACGGCCGTAATCTTAAAACTAGTCCAGGTAAGTGGGACCTTGCCCCTAAAAGTACCTGAAGCAATATGTCAGAATGAAGTCCCACAATGGAGTTCCGGAGTTCCCAGAGGGAAGGTATGTGGGACCTTGCCCCTGAATGAATGGTCAAATCCTGTGTCTTGGGCGGTAATGCTATGGGGGGAGGAATATCCCTAGTGCAGTGGTTGGCCACCAAGTCATCAGCATCAGTCTGATACTGAAAAGGTCAGTGTGTCCGAAAAATCAGACTTGCGGCATTGAGCAGAACTATCTTTTTTCCTCGGGTACGAGGGTGTTCTCAGCCTCTTCTTTCCCCCAATATCAGTCAGCGTGATGAAGAAGAAGAAGAAGAAGAAGAAGAAGGAGAAGAAGAAGAAGAAGAAGAAGAAGAAGAAGAAGACAGACGATGGGTTCGCAAGGGGTGGTAAGATGGAGGCTACAGTGTGAAGGTGGCCCTGCTCAGGCAGCTCAGGGGTAGAAAGGCAAGAGGGTGACATGTATAGGGATGTTAGTGCGCACTTATAGAGGTGGCATTGGATACCAGGCAAGGCAGATGATACTGGCCTCCTTAAGTGAGCATCCGCTTGGTGGATCTGGGCTGGTGGATCATTTCCCCCTGATGGGATTGCTGGCAGGGCGATTGAAATCGGTAGGGGAGTGGCAGCCTTGTTGGTGGTTGACATGCTTTTCAGGATTTTGCATAATCCACCACATCGGTGGACCAGCTGGGACCGACCTAAATGGACCGAACGGGCACCACTGCACAGGTTGGTGTTCTCATTGCGTGGTCCCTTGCAAATAGAAAAGTTCATTAGACGGAAAAGAAAAGGGTGTCAGATAAACTGTACTTCTACATGGTATTCCATTTTCCGAATTTACTTACGGGCATGTTCGTCCTTCCCCTCTGTGTGT